GTTTCTAGGAGCAGTTACTCCTTGGAGAGGGGCATCATGCCTGGAAAGGTGGAGGGGTGGGGAAAGAAGGTAAGTAACTTAACCAAATGGATTAACACAGTGACTGCAGCATTGGGCAGTAGTACAGAATTCAAATTTATTGGTCATAGGCTTACTGTGATTTGTATTCGACTTCACAGCACAAACAACAATAGTGATGACAAACCAGAGTGTGAAATGACTGGAAAAGGGTTAATCAAAATATACAAAATCTGTTCTTGAAAAGACAGCCCCAGGGAGGGGGTGGGTATGGGGGAGTAGTGCAGCAATGAATGACTGGAAGCCCTGGGTCTCTGTGAACTTTCATTAAAATGAATTAAAATTAAAAAAATGATTAAAAAAAGACAACACCAACTTTCCCCATGTAGTATCAAGGGTTTATTGATCAAACTGGCTTTTCTAACTATTCATTGTTACTTTGTAATGTAGATGGGGAGGGTCATTCAAATAGGGTGTATTAGTTTATCCATGAGGGAATCAGCCATCCCATTATATTTAAATTGAGTAATTTCGAAAGCATATATTGAAAATCTCAGCAAAAACAATGAAGAGGAAGCATCCCTCATCTTTTGGGGCCAGAGATTCCTGCACCAGCCAGATGGGAATCTATTGAAGAGTCTCAGCAAAGAAGTAGAAATCAACCTGAAACAGAAGTGACTTGGGACTGCTGCTGACAGAGTCAGAGCCAGAGTCCTTCCTCCAAGCTTGCTAGAGGAGTAAGGAGACTTTGTGCCACAGACTTAAGCTTTGAGGCTGACTGTCAAAAGTGCCTGCACCCACACTTGATAAGTTGTCTGGCCTGAGAGATTGTGTCCTGTTGCCAACATGAATTACATCCTGTTAATCTCCCTAATAAATCCCATGACTGTATGATTTTATAAAGTCTGTAGCTATTGCAATGGATTTAAGATTGAATAGGTTATTAAGATTGTTGTTGGAAATAGTAGCAAGTAAGTACTGCAGCCTTCAATATGAATTGAGGCTCAATATCAAGAAAACAAAAATTCTCAACACTAGGCCAATTGGCAACATCAGGATGAATGGTGAAGAGACTGAGATTGTTCACAGCTTTAGTTTGCTTGGCTCCACAGTCAACACTCTTGGTACCAGCAGCCAGGAAATGAAAAGACGTATTGCGGTGGGAAAGTCTGCTATTAGGGACCTCTCCAAAGTACTGAAGAGCAGTGGTGTCACTCTGGAGACTAAGATGTGCCTTAATACAGGCCATGGTCTCTGCAATCACTTGCTATGCGTCAGAGAGCTGGACAGTGACTAGGGAGGATAGAAGGAGAATTGATGCCTTTGAGCTGCAGTGTTGGAGAAGTGTATTCAGTATGCCATGGACTGTTAAGAACATGAACAGGTTCATCTTGGAAAGGGTTAAACCACCAGGCTGCTCCTTGGAGGCAAGGATTCTGAGTCTTCGTCTGACATACTTTGGTCATGTTGTAAAGGAGAGACCAGTCCTTAGAGAAGGATGGATGTCATGCTTGGGAGGGTGGAGGGACAGAGCAGGAGGGGAAGATCCTTTGTGAGGTGGATTGATTCAGTGATTCGGGTAATTGGGGTGAGTTTGTTGGAGACAGTGAAGTTGGCACAGGATAGAGCAGGATTTATGGCTGTTGAACATAGGGTCGCTATGGGTCGCAGGTGACTCGACAGCACATACCAACAACAACAATGTGGAGACCATGTCAGACCTTACAGGGATTATTTTTGTATTGTGGATGTTTTCAATTGTGGAATTAATAGAAGTCAACCTCATCCATCCCCACACAGCCCTGGCTCTTTTTATACCCCTCAAGGGAATTATTCATTATTAACATACAGGAATTCTCGAGGATGGAACTCCATTTGATATTGTTTAATTTAGAATTCACAAAAGTCAGTACCAAGTTAACCACTAAAAGACTGACAGTTCTTAAGGACGTAAAAGTCAGTACCAGACTAACCAAAAAAAGGTAGAGGCCACATATGTCCCAAAAGTTCATGCTGTTAAACCACTGTCATTTTTAGCATTAACTATTCTTCCTCCTTCTCCCAACTCCAAACCTTTTGTCTGTGTTTTATGGACTTGACCATTTATTGAAAGGAAGGTCCTCAAGAAACTCAGGCAGTTGTTGATGATTTCATGCAGGGTTCAGGCAGTTGGCCTAGGTCGGAAGGCTATCCCAAGCAAGTGAGAAGATGAGTTGTGGAACTCAGTTTTCTTCTATTTGAGCACTAGGACATAGACCATGTCCCTAGGGGAACTAACTAAGGGTGGTGATTTGCTTCATGCCTTATCTCAGCCTTTAGCTAGTTTTTAATCAAGCAATAATGACCTTCTGTCTGCCAGGTATCCTATATATTGCTTCAAATTAACCACCTGAGTGGGCTCAGGCAATTCTAACTGTCCCTGTTGAGAACATCCAGTTAATGCTGGCCTCAGGGCCAACTTACATGCTCTATGTTTTGAGATATCTGCTATAGGAATTGTTCCCCAACTAGACATAATATCCATATTGTAGGGTGGAGTCTCAGGATATCAAAGGATAGGAAAGCCATTTAGAAAGATGAAATCCTTTACACAGTCCAAAGAAGAAGGAAAATGCCAGCCTTTTATGTTTCAATGTTATTAGGTGCTGATGAATTGAGTATGACACATAGTGACCTTGTGGACAACAGATCTGAATCCTGTCCTGTCATCCCAGTTTCTATACACTGGAGTAGTCGCTATGTCAATCCATCTGGTTGAGGGACTTACAGAAAGTGGTTATTTGCATAATACAAGCTGTTGTTTAATCTTTCACCGTTCCTGATGCTGTATTCGCCATATAGTTCAGCTTCTTGGATTATTTGCTTAGTTTACTGACTGGGAAAGAATGGTAAGAGACTCCAGACCTGTTGCACTCACTTCTTTTCAGATTTTAAATTGTTCAGTATCACTCTTGCTTATGCATAAGTGTCTCATGGCACAACTGTGTATTGTGGAATTCCATTCTTTTCAATGTTGTCCATAATTTTTTATGATCCATATAGTTGAATGTCTTTGCAAAGTTGATAAAATGCAAGTAAATCTCTTTCTGGTGTTCTCTACTTCCAGCTAACATCCATCTGATCTCAGCAGTGATATATCTCTTGTTTCATGGCCTCTTCTGAATCCAGCTTAAGTTCCTGACAGTTCCCTATAGATATACTACTCCAACCTATTTTTGTAAAATATTCAGAAGTATTTTACTTTCATGTGATGGTAAAATGATGGTTGTATAATAATTTCTACATTCCATTGAATCACTTCTTTTTGTCAAGGACACAAATAGAGATCTCTTCCTGTTGGTTGACGAAATAGCTGCCTTCCAAATTTCCTAGTATAGATGAATAAGTAGAGATGGGCTGCATCTGTTTGCTGAAGCACATGATTTAGTATTCTCTCAGCTAGCGGAGCCTTATTTTTTTCCAATACCTTCTGTGCAGTGTGGACCTCTTCGACACCATTGACTTTTGATCATATACTTTCTCCTGAATCTCCTGAAATGGTTACATGTCAACCAGGTCTTCTTTCTTCTTTTGATATTACCTATGCTATTCAGTATTTTTGCCCATCAGTATTGCAACTTGGGGCTTGAATTTGTTCTTCAAGAGAATACCAGCTTGAGAAATGCCAAGCATGATCTTCCTTTTTTGTTGTTTCTAACTCTGATCTTCGTACATTTTGTTCTAATACTTTGCTTTGTCTTATCTAGGTGCCCTAAATCTTCTGTTCAGCTCTCTTGACATTTCTATTTTTTTGCTTTAGTTTTTGTACATTTAAGAAGCAAGTTTCAGAGCCTCTTCTGGCATTAATTGTGATCTTTATTTTGTCCTGTCTTTTTAATAACTTTTTTCTTTTTTGCTTTCTTCATATATGATATTTTTTATGTCATCCCACAACTCATCTGGTCTTTAGTTGTTCATGTTAAATACATTATATCTGTTCTGCATATGGTTTTTAAATTCATATGGAATTAACTCAATCTAGTATTTTGGTTCTTGTGAACTTTTAATTTTCCCCAGCTTTAGTTTGAATTTGTTTAGTAGCAGCTGATGATGTGTTCCACTGTCATCCCTCGTGTTGTTCTGACTGATGATCTTGAGCTTTTTGAAAACCCCATCTTCACTTTGATTCCTGTGTACACTGTCAGGTGACGTCCTGTGTATTGTCATTTACGCTTTTTAAACAAATGTATTAGCGATGAATAAATCACGGATTGTACAAAATTTTATCATGCCATATCTAGACTTACTGGACATACTTTTCCATCTACCTACCCTTCCATATTTCCAGCTTTTGCATTTTAGCCATCAATCTTTAATACATTTTGATTGCAGAAATTGGTTAAATTCTTAGTTTCTTCATCTTTGTCTTTTGGTATTGGTGTATTTAAATAATAGTTACATTAACAGATCTTCCTTGTAGATGTATGGATTGTAGCCTATCGCTCACAGCCTTGTACTTCAGAATAGATATTGAAATGAGTTATTTTTGACAATAAATGCCTCACCATTTCTCTTTATTTTGTCACTCCTGCCATAATAGATCATGAATTGTCTGATTCAAAATGACCAATACCATCTTAGCTCGTTCATCTCAAGGATGTCCATCTTAATGTGTTCCGTTTCATTTTAGACAACTTCCAATTTTATCATAAGATTATTTTGCCTTACATACTCAAAATATTTATGTAGAAACAAGATAGAATTAAAAGCCAAGGTAAAAAAACACGTTAAGATGCTAAATATACTGAAGGGCTCTCCCGGCTCCGGCCTGGTCTCTCCTCCAGTCTCGCTCCCGAGTCTCCCCCCTGGTTGGCTGGTCTGTGGGATGTTGTGTGTTGTGACCCCATTACAGGTTTCCACTGGGCCAGAACAGAAATAAAAGTGACGTTTGTGGACAAAAATAATTCTAAATATAAACAATATTGTCTTCTTTTGTGAAATAGGTTGGACAGCACTTCATGAAGCTAGTGCAGGAGGATTTTATCGGATAGCAAATGAACTCTTAAAAGGTGGAGCAGATGTAAATATCAAAGGAAGGTATCAGATCACCCCACTACATGATGCTGTGATGAGTGGGCATTATAAGGTACTGTGATGCTTTTAGTTGTAAATCAGACTCTACAATAAAAACTCTAACATCAAAATTTTGTTTTGATCTATTTAGTGAACGAAAACTTAGAATTTGTTATAAATGTTATTGTGTGATGATTGTTGATATGCCTAATATACCATATGTAGCATTTTACATATCACTGTTGATCCTTTTATTACTTCCTGCTTTGAATTCTTTTGTTGTTATTGATACCATGTGTTTTCAGTAATGGAAGGAATTTTCGATGAAATGGGGGAAAAAATTGAGGTAACATGGATTTTTATACAACCCAACTTTGCTCATTGAAAGTATGGTGACTTGAAGTGCTTGCTACAGAAGATCAAATACTGCAACCTTCAGTATGAATTACATCTCAACATTAAGAAAACAAAAATCTTCACCACAGGACTAATAGGCAACATCATGAAAGATGGAGAGAAGATTGAAGTTATCAATGGTTTCATCTTACTTGGATCCACAACCAAAACCCTTGGTACCAGCAGTTAAGAAATCAAAAGACAAGTTGTATTGTGAAAAATCTGCTGTCAGGGACCTCTTCTGAGTACTAAAGAGCGATGATGCCAATTTAAAGACTAAAGTAACCCAGATCCAAGCCATGGTCTTCTCAATTACTTGCTATGCATCTAAAAGTTGGACAAAGAATAAGAGTGACAGAAGAAGCAAAGCCTTTGAGTTGTGGTTTTGGAGATGTGTACTGAATATCCCATGGACTGCCAAGAGAACAAACAGATCTGCCTTGGGGAAAGTGAAACCAGGGTGCTTGCTTCTTGGGGGCAAAGGTGGTGAAAATCCATCTTCAATACTTTTGGCATGTTAGTAAGAGGGTGTCCTTGGAGAAGCACTTTCATCTTGCTTGGAAAAGTGGAAGGTCAGTGTAAAAGAGGAAGACCCTCAATAGATGGATTGACACAGTGACTGTGACAAAAGACTCAAGTGTGAAGAAGATGGTGAGGATGACATACGATATGACAGGATTCATATCTGTTGGTCATAGGGTTGCTAGAGTCATAGACTACTTGACAATACATAAAACAGCAGTGGGCCATAGGATACATATGTTCCAAAGGATCTCTGGTCCTGGAATTGGTGGAATACCCTCAACCCTAAGGCATGACACATAGGTAGGCACTATATGCTCTATGGTCACAGAAGTGTTAGTAATTACATGGAACATGTTTTGATTATACAAATATGTTTTAAAACTTTTATTCTTTTTTAATTTTTTTAAAATTTTTATTATATTTTGTGTGTGTATCGTCAAATCAGATCTGACTGGTACAGGAGGAAATTGTCCCTCCTTCTCCAGCAGAGCATCTGGTGGATTAGAACTGCTCACCTCTGGGATTGCAAAACTTGTATTCTTTAAGACTCTTTTCATATGGTACTTTTTAAGATTAAAAATTACTAGTGGTGTGATGGATAATGTATCTGACCACTAACTTAAACATCAGCAGTTTATGTCTATTAGCTATGCTGAGGGAGAAGGATGGTTAGTTTCCTCTTGTGATCTTTACAACCTTTAGACACTTAATGGATGGTCTTCATCAGTTGGAATCAACTGTTAGCAGTGGGTTGGTTGATTGGTTGGGATTTTGTTGTATTTTTTTCTTTTACTTCTTCTAGAGTTTTACTGGAACCAGAGTCCACCTCTTATGTGAGGTTTGCAAAATTATGGAAGCTGGTGTCCTTTTCAGAGTCAGCATAAGACATGAATGTTTCTGGGAGATAATGATTAGCCAGTACACACCAGTTCGGCTGGATTGTTTGTTGAATTATAAAAATACTGTATCTGTTAGTTAATATTAACTGCAATAAATAGTAATATTAAACAATTCCAGCAAAAAAAAAAAACACAAAACAACACACCAAAAACAAAACAAAACAAAAACAATTCCAGCATATCAATTTATTTCAGAAGCCACTTAATGTTCTGAGCTTCATATACATTTTTCTGGTCCAGGCACATTAAATTGCAGGCACTGGCCGGTTTGGACATTGCTTGTAAGTTCAAAACCCCAAGAATTACTAAAAGGCAACTAATCAACTGAGTTTAGAAAGATCTGTTTAAAATATATATAAAGAAATAATTAACGCAAGTAGAGGCAGGAAGGTTGCCAAGAGTTCTGGTATAGCTAGACAGAGCATTACGTAGTTGTGTTGTATGTATTGTGTAGTTGGAACCAATACATGGTTAACCCTCTAGAGAGTACTCAGAGGCTATGACTTGTATAGGAGGAGATTGCTTATCTTTCTCCTACAGGACTCATTCTAATTGTGGTAACAATAATTTAGGAGTTTAGGGAATTTTACGTTTTTCCTCTTTCATGTTTCATAGGATTCTCTCTCCAGTAGACTTCTACAGAAATATGCATGGATGACCATGTAGCACTAGGCAATTTTTGTCTCCATTTTTGAAAGACATCTTACCTCTTATCAGACTCTTAGTTGACAGTTTTTTCTTTCGCTTTTAGCAAGTACGCTAGGGTATCAAGCTGCCTTCTGGATGCTATTTCTACAATGAGAAAAATTGGTTATTAATCTTATTGGAATTCTTGTTGAAGTTAGAAATTGTTTTTATCTTACTGCTTTCAGAATTTTATCTTTGGCTTTTAGCATTTTGACTGTGATTTGTAGAAGTGCTTATTCCTTTGTATTAATACTATTTGGAGTTCATTAAGCTTCTTGGATGGGTAGTTAATATTTTTCATCAAATTTTGAGGCTTTTTCTTCTAAAATTTTTTTAAAAAAAATTTTATTTTCATTTCTCCTCTGGAACTCTCATTTTGTGTATACCATTGTGCTCAATGATGTCTCCCATTTCTCTGAGGTTCTTCCCATTTGTTCTTTGTTCTTTTTTTCTTTCTCTGGAAAAATTGGATAGATTGAAAAGATAATGTAGACACAACACATCCCTGATGCACTCCTTTCTTGATTTTGAACTATGCAGTGTTTTCTTGCTCCGTTCTGACATTACTGACAAGTATAGGTTTCGCATAAGCAAAATAAAGTGTTCTGGGTTTCTCATTATTCTCAAGGTTGGCCACAATTACTTGTGATATACACAGTCAAACACCTTTGCATAGCCAATAAAACACAGCTAGACAGCCCTCTAATATTCTCTGCTTTGGCTAAGATCCTTCTGACATTGCCTATAATGTCCAAAGTGCCATGACCTCTTCTAAAACCCAGCTTGCAGTCCAAACCCATTGGGCAGTTCTCTGTCATTTTTGGATAATCTTCAGGATCTTGCTTGCATGTGGAATTAGTGATATGTTTGATAATTTCCAAACTCTGTCAGATCACCCTTTTTTGGAATAGAAATAAATATGGATCTCTTCCAGTCAGTTGGCTAGGTTGGCCTCCAGATTTCTTGGCACAATCTCATGAGCACATCTAGGGCTGCATCTATTTGTTCAAGTATGTCAGTTGGTATTCATTAATTTCTGGGGAGTTGTTTTTTTTGCCAGTTCCTCCATAGCAGCTTGAACTTTCTCCTCCATCACCATTGCCTCTTGATCATGTGTTGTTTCTTGAAATTCTTTCATGTCAGCCAATTTTTTCTGGTACAGTGACTCTGTGTACTCCTTCCATCTTGTTTTGCTACTTCTTGGATCATTTAGTGTTCTGCCTAGCATAAGATCTGCCATACCTTAAGTTACTTCAGCCTAAGAAATGCTGAGTGAGTTCATCCCTTTGATTTTATGACTCTAGTTCTTTAAACATTAATTATAAAACTTTGCTTTGTCTTCTCAAGTTGTCCTTTAAAATCTTCTGTTCAGCTTCTTGAACTTTATGAGGAGGAATCTGGCATTAGGATTGGAGGAAGACTCATCAACAATCTGCATTGTGCAAATAACACAGCCTTGCTTGCCAAAACTGAGGAGGACCTAAGGCGTTTGCTGTCAAGAACTGCAGTCTTCAATATGGATTGAAGTTCAGGGTCAAGAAAACAAAGTTCTCACCACTAGGCCAGTTGACAACACCGTGATAGATGGAGACGATATTGAGATTGTTAACAATTTCAGCTTGCTTGGTTCCACAATCAACACTCTTGGCACCAGAAGTCAAGAAATCAAAACATGAATTGCATTTGGAAAATCTGCTGTCAGGAACCTCTCCAGAGTGCTGAAGAGCAATGAAGTCAGTCTGGAGACTAAGGTGTGCCCGATCCAAGCCATAGCATTTGCAGTTATTTGCTATGCATCTGAAAGTTGGACAATGACTAAAGATGATAGAAGAAAAAATCAGTGCCTTTTGAGTGCTGGAGAAGAGCACTGAACATGGACTGCCAAGAGAACAAACAAGTCTGTCTCTAAGCTGCTCCTTAGAAGCAGAGATTTTGAAAGTCCATCTCACATATTTTGAACATGTTGCCAGGAGGGACCAGTCCTTGGAGAAAGACAACATGCTTGGAAGGGTGGAAGAACAGTGCAGGAGAGGGACATCCTGGATGACATGGATTGGCACAGTAACTAGAATAATAATGGTAGGTGTGTTGGAGAAAGTGAGATTGGTTCAGAATAGCGTACTCTTCAGAGCTGTTGTACAAAAGGTTGTTAATAAATTGCAGGTGACTCTATGGCACATAACAACAATAGACAAATTGGATAATATACAGTCCTGTCTCCAAGTTCGTAACCAGAGAAGTTGTTACCTTTTGCTGTTGCATCTATTGTGCCTTAAAGACTCATTTCATTTTTCAGAGACTTATGAGGGGCCATTCACTCAGTACTTTGTATTTTCAGATGTTCCTAAGAGAACATAGCCATAAGCATGCATATAGGCTTCTTTCTGATTTTATCCATACACTTTGCGTCTCTGTAATATCCTCATTACGTTTCTGGTTGATTTTCCTCCTTTGGTTTTATACCTGGATATTGTTGTTGGGTGCCATCACACCCAAGTCTGGTATCACCCTCTAAACAACAGACTGAACCTTGTCCTATCCTATGCCATCCTCCTTATCTCTTATA